GAAAACCTAGGAGGAGGGGTTGTGCGAGCGAGGAGAATTGCTCCGCAGACGCACCGAGGGCAGCTATGAGACTGGAGTTCAATGTTTGTACCTGTACTGGATGACGCACCCTCCCTCCCAGCTGGCAGCGGTCCCTGGGGGTGTGAGTGTCGGGCTCTCGCAGCCGGCGAGAAGTGACCGCACGCGTCAGCCACGCAGGGCAGAGATCAGCCGGTGCTCGCGGCACTCGCCCTCCTTCTCCTCCCGTCCCTCTGTGCCATGAATCAGCTTTAAACCCGGGGAGAGAGCTTTGTGGAAGGAGGGTCCCAGGCAAGCGTGTTACTGGTTTGCTGGCCGACTGCACCCGGGAATGCCCGGGCTTTTGTTTTCATCCACGAAGGAGGGTCAGCAAGAGCACACCACCCACAAACTTGCCTCCGGAGTGGTGTTCAGCAGGCAGCAGCCGTGGAAGCCAAGGGTTTGAGTGTCTCCCCCTGCAATGCCACCTTGAAATATGCTCATCCCTAGGAGATGAGGATGAGCCTCCCGCTGCCTGCCGGAGGAGCTCTGCTTTCAGAGAGCTGCTTGTGTTTACAGGGGTCTTCGGTTTACCCCAGATCTCTCACGTCTTCTTCATGGGAGGAAGGCACCAGTCGTAAATACGGAAGAGGCACTGAAAATGTGGGCAGGGACCCGCCATCTCCAGTCATCGTATCCCCCTCCTCCTCTCAGATCTCGTTATTTAAGCAACGATAATCCCTCCAAACCCTGGAAACATTGACTACCCGAGGTACTGTGGTTCAGTGTCCTGTGAACCCGTATCTTTTAGTGACGGTACTAGCTTTTGCACAGTAAATGCTGTAGTATATGAGACTGTAAATATTAGTATTTAGAATCCATTGGGGATTTTTTTTGATGCATGTCTGAGTACCAATGGGTTTATAGGAAAACAAGAGAAGTGCAAAACAGTATGTATAGAACTCACAACCGGTGACAATGTTGTTCCAAGTGCTGGAAGAAAGGAGGCACGGGGCGGCTGCGAGGGCGCTGGCTGCGGAGCATGGGCAGGAGCCGGGCAAAGGAGCCAGGTCCCTTTCTGGGGTTGGAAATGGGAACCGGGAAGGAGCCCTGGGCCCGGCTGAGCCACCCCGTCCCCTCCACCCCACTCCTCTCCCCTCTCACTGTTGCCAAATGGTTTTTCCAGGGGGTCCCCGTCTGGCTGACCCTTGGTGCTGTGCTTTGTGATCCATGCTTTGGCAGGAGCCCCAGCAGGTCCCCGTCCCCAGTACCGCCATGGTGGAGCCAGCAGAGCAGGGGCAGCCCAGCATGGAAGAGCAAGGGGGGGGGAGGGGGGGGTGTCTCATTTCCCACACATGCAGCGTTAACCCCAATCTGTTTGGTGTGCCTTATTCAGCCCCTCTGTCCCCTCTCCGTGTCCCCCCCGGGGGCGTCCTCACCAATGCAGCCCCAGCCAGGCCATTTCACATCCCTCCTCTCTGTCCTCATCCGATGGTTTACAGTGTGGATCGTGGGTTTGAGCGCACGCCGTAGGTTTTAGCAGCCTTGCGAGGCCTTTCTCAGCACCGTGTCGCGTGGTCACAGGTTTTTACTGAGTTCTGTCTAACAAAATCCTGCAGTTCTACGGCAGCGGCTCTCAAGAAATACAAGACGGAGTGTTCTGCAGAGCATCCTTAACTTATTTCTCAATAGCAGCTCGTGTTTGCTAAAGCCTCTGTTTATTCTGAGTGAATCAGAGTTGCAAGCACTTCCTTCTACAAACAGATTGCAAAGCCTTGGCCAGCTCCCTGCAGGCGGCAGCTCTGCCTGACGGGCGGCGGGAGGGAGCGACAGCGGCGTTGCCCCGTTCGTAGGGTTGTACCCAGCTCGATTATTTTCCTGAAGACGTAGGCACAGGACTCGTGCAGCGGCCAAATGCTGAAGCGCAGAGAGACCCCCTTGCCCCTGAGGGCATCTGGGGGAGGAGAGCATGGGGTCCGACACCAGTTTGTGCTGTGCAACCCCAGAGCGGGAGGAGCAGGGATCTTCCTGTGCTGAAACGCGGCGTCCGAACCAGAACACTTCAAAAATGGTTTGTTTTTATGGCACGAAGGGCACTGGAGCCGTGTGTCGTGTCTGGCTGAGGCTTTGCAATCCCCAAAGGCTTCCCAGCCCTCCACGCAGGAAGTAGTGCTTGTGTTTTCCATTGTAAATAAGATTTAAAAAAAAAAAAAAACAACCCAACATGGCAAGACTGTGAAAAGGCAAACGCACCCCTGTCTGGGGTGCCTGGCGCAGGCTTCCCCCCCCGGCCGGCACTGAGCACCTCCCTCCTTCGGGGCGCGTGGGCTGTTCCTGGGAGCGTGGTGGGTGGTGGTAGCACCGCCTGTTGCCCCGCTTTCCCCATGTGGGGCCACGGGGGTGCAGTGTTCATGGCTGGGGCTCCATGCCATGGGGGGACAGGAGGGTCCTGCGGGAGCTGTGTCCAGGTTCTTCCCCATGCTCGAAACCACAAGCCCTCTTAGTGCCAAAGGGGGGGTCTTGCTCTCCGCCTTCCACCAGCCCCCCCAAAACCCAAAGGCTCAGCACAGCCACAGCACCTCCTCCAGCGCAGTGGGGCTGAGCCCTCCGGCTTTCCTCCCCCTCCATGGCCTTCCCCAGCAGAGTGGGGTGTCCTGACCTCGGGCCAGGCTCACAGGGCTGGAGGGACCCTAAAGAAGGGTCTCAGTGCCCAGAGCAGCTTCAGGTTTGCCGACCAGAGACCCCCCCACCCCGTCCCGGAGCAGCACCCCTGGGGAGCAGAAGCCCAGGACAGCAGCCATTTGCAAGCCTGGCCATGAGTGTCTTCGCGTGTCTTGCAGGGCAGCATCCTCGAGGCCGTCGCCTCTCTTTTTGGGAGGCCGGAGGGGTCCCAGTTCCCTCCGTGCGGTGCAGGGAGTGGGGAGAAGCGATGCCCCCGGTCACCAGCCTAACCCAGTCCCGATGGTGGCATCTTCCTGCAAACATTTCAGCCCTGTAACTTTTATATTAAAGACAAATAAACACCAATAACAACCCCGCCTGATGATCCTGTTTACAGTGCATGCAGCAGTCTGTGGATTAAAGTGACAATCGAATCCACTTCTGGCACTGGTGTGGCCTCGTGTTTTCTCATGTGCCCCTCGGGGGTTTTCCTCTGCCCTTGTCCCTTTTCCCTTTTATTTTTCCCCTATAAATCTCTTCCTTACCTCCCAGTAAGATGGTCTCACCCCACTACAAGCCCTACACTTGGTGGGGAGGGTGGAATCTGCTCCTGTCACCTTCCCCCAGGCACTGATGTCCCCTGTGTCAAGGGGTTTCCGCTCCCCAAAACATGTTGGCAGGCGTGAGCCCGGCCACAGCTCAGTCTGTGCAGCGGCCGCAGGCCGGGTGGCC